TCTGACGATACCGAGTGGATACGCTTGGGCTCTTCAACAATTTCCGCACGAGGTTTCGGTAACCGCAGGCTGGCAAAATAGCACTCGTGTGCCATTTTTTGGTCGGCATGGACGGTGATCACCCGCCCCGAACCGGATGGGGACTTTGAGTGTATTTGATAAAAATTATGTCCCACTGATATCAAATCAATTAATTATTTAATTATTTAACACTCATATCAAATTTTTATCTTTTATATTTTCAAAAACAGTATAATATAAACTTAGGTCAATTATCACTTTTTATTGACTTTACTTAATTATAAATAAAATCATATATACTAAAAAAGGAGAGACATTTTGTATCTTGTTAAGAAATAAATTTAAAAAAATAATAAAATAAGAAAATATACAATTATCTCTATAATAATAGAGTAATTAATTATATTAGTTAAGAGATAACATAGTTTCAAAAACAAATTGAATTTCAAAATAAAATATTACCTTTATTATTGTTACTGATTATAAATTACAGATTATAAATAATATACTTTTTTTTGAAAGATTAATATATTAACTTTATATTTTTCTACAAAATAAAATCACGGAGAATAAGAGCATCTGGATTTTAGCATAATAAGTGAGATATTTTATTTTAATATGTATATAAATATAAAAAAAACTATATATTAAAATGTTAATGGGACATTTGTCCCCACAATGATATATAAATATATCCGTCCCTGAATGTACCTACCTATGTGCACAGAAAATAGACATACAATGTATATGCATGCTTGTCCTAAACAAGTTGGAAATGCTTAAGTAGGCTATATAACAAGGAATTCATTAATACAAAAATGCTTAAGTATAATTTTAGTCTGCAAAATTAACTCTTGATTTTGGTTCTGTTATTTTCTTTTTAAAATTTTATATTATTTTTTATTCTTATTAATTATTGGAGTACTAGAATTATTAAGTTTATTCTTTCATGAGAAGTCTGAAATAAAGAAAGAGAATATTGAAAAGTCTGAAAAAACTGAGAGTATCTCCGGAACCTCTATTATAGTTTTGATAAGAAAAAAATAACGTGAGACCAAGTCAAAAGTAATAACAAAGCAAGTCAAAAAAAAATAAGACAAATGAAGTCAAACTAAAAATAAAATAAGGATTAAATTAATTTCAAAATAACTTTATAAATCAATTAAATATAGATATTTATTTACCTTTTAAAATATACAAAAAATTAGTTTCTAAATTTTATAGGCATTATTATATTAGACCCTAAAATTATAAACTTAAAAACAATACTTTCATTTATGGTGTATTTGGTAAAGGTAAAAAAACATAAAAGTGCAGAAAAAAAAAATTAGAGAGTTGCTTTTCATTTGTGTTTGTTAGGGGGAAAGAAGAGAGAAAGTGTGATAAAATTCATTTAGGCCCATATAACATCAAGGAAAATGGATCTCCTGATTTTATGAAGGAAAAATTACGGTAATTTAATACATTTGAATAGTTAGATTTGTAATAATAAATTAAATTATGACATGTGTACATTTAAGTTAAAATATGTATTATATACGTGTTATAATCTAATTTATTTTTATAAATTTAATGGTGTAAATGCATTACTTTACCATAATTTTGATATCTCAAAGATAGAGAATCGAAATTCGACTTGTTTCCCAAAATAGAGAAGAAATGTGTAAAAAATGAGTTAAAGTTAATGCTATTATTAATTTTTTTCAAAATCATTAGCCTTAATTTCTATACCAATTCATAAAAAATACATTAATGTTCAACAACTTTTTATCCTTTTTTATTATTCATTATCATGACAATTATTATTATTATCTTATTAATAATAAAATATAATAATATTTTATTTTTTATTAATTAATTTTTTCTTTTTTCACCTATTCTCTTATATTTTGACCAATTGAAAATATTAGTAAGATGTATTTAAGGTAAAAATAATTTTTTCAAATCCCTAACAAGATTGCCTATACCTCTTTTATTCTTTTTTAACTAAATTGTATTTCTACTTTATGTTTTTTTTTTTTCTTTACGAAAGAGAATATAATTATTTTATTTGGGAGTGTGTATGTATATAAAATGAAAAGGAAAAAGAAATGGTAAAAAATAAGCAAGTAGAGTAGTTGAAAAAGTTTGACGAGTCTTGTAATACTGGAAGCAGATTTAGGAAAGGCATAAATTGAAGTATAATAGTAGTGCGTCTTCTTTGACTAAAGACATAATCAAACCTTGTTCGTCTAACCAATTCTCGTGAACTCAATTCCCAGAGAGAGAAAGAGAAAGAGAAGTAATCAATCAATCGATTTGGGTGATGAGCGCGTGAGTGAAGAAGACGATGTCAGGGAAGAAGAAGGGGGTGGCGCCGGAAGACGCCATAAGTGCCATTGGCTTCGGCTACGATCTCACCAACGATCTCAAGCTCAAATCCTGCAAGAACCACTCCAGATTGATCGCTATCGACGCTCAAAACGTTCGCACCATTGAACTCCCACATCGAATTTCTATCCCTAATGTCCCCAAATCCATCAACTGCGATAAAGGTGAGCGCACCAGATTGTGCTCCGATGTCCTCTCTTTTCAGCAGGTATCATCCAATTTCCCAACCCCACGTCCTGCCAAAATCTTACTTATAAAAAATTTAAATATTAGTATTGTGAAAACTCTGTTTCTTTTAACTTTTTTATCACGCGCTTTATCTGTAGAAAAATAGAAAATGGAGTTTTTCCTTTAAGTCTAAGGTTTCATTTTTGTAACCAAGTTCAAAGTTTATTCATGTGGGTGGAGGTGAGGAACTACCTGTTTTTTTTTTTAAAAAAAATAATAATAATTAAGCGGAGTTAATTGAGCCATTTGTGTTCAAATAAACTTTAATATCATATTTTATATCAAAACATTTCATATTGGAATGCATATATATATCAAAAGAATAACTTAGTTTTATCTGTTTTTGTTTTGGAACATGGTGAACCTATACCCCATTTTTGGAGTATACAAATGGAATGAAGAAAGAGATAGGAAGAAAGAGATAGAAAGCAAAAAAAAAAAAAAAAAAGAGAGAGAGAGAGAGAGAAAGTGACATATGTGATAAATAACGTGATGAGAAATGACTAGAGATATATGAAGAAAAATATGGTGGGAATGGGATGGAAGAGAAAGTTGATGTATGATATTAATAATAATAATAATAACTGTTTTGTTATAGAAGCATGAAATACTTTGGTATGTCTGTTATTATTACTATGTTGTTGTTGAACAGTGTGGAGGATTGTTTGTTTAATTTACAAGTTATATGTACCTTGTTTTAGATGTCAGAGCAGTTCAACCAGGATTTGTCACTGTCTGGTAAGATTCCAACAGGCCATTTCAACTCTGCATTTGGGTTTTCAGGAGTTTGGCAAAAAGATGCTGCCAATACCAAGACTCTTGCTTTCGATGGTGTATCCATCACACTCTACAGCATTGCATTTGAGAAAACCCAGGTAGTTCTTCATGATCATGTCAAACAAGCTGTTCCTTCGTCCTGGGATCCGGTTGCATTGACAAGGTACTTCTTTGATTTAGCAAAATATAGTATAATACGTTGTTGATGTGTTCAACAAGTTCCCAGAAAGAGCCAAGTGGCTAACTATAGTGAGAACATAGCCCAATAATAGGTTTATGCTAATACATACAACTCAACTTGTCAGAATTCTGGCAAGTTTAGTGTACACATTTAACTGCTTTGCCTTTCAATCAACAAAATCCACTTGGATTGTTTGAGTTGCAACTCATCATTTCATCTTATCATTTCAGATTCATTGAGAAGTATGGAACTCATGTTATAGTTGGGGTGAAAATAGGAGGAACTGATATAATCTATGCGAAGCAGCAGTACTCTTCTCCTGTCCAACCTGCTGATGTACAGAAAAAATTGAAGGATATGGCAGATGCATTCTTCTTAGACAAAGCTGGACAGTATAACAATACTGGTGGGAGGTCTAATGCAAAGGAAAAGGTTTGAAGCTTTTCTAGTTCAAATTTATTTTTATTCTCTTTAGTTTTCGTAATTGCTATAAGATTACACCATTTTATGACGGCAGTTGTGTGAATAGATGTTGGGGTCATGAAGGACAAGGACTTCCAAAACAAATATAGGATTACACCAAGTTTATCTTTATACCATGGTTTTGGATGTACCTACTCACTGAGCAGATTCTGTAGTTTGTGCCTCAATGCATGCTCTTTTTATGATACATGGTGAGGGATTTGAAAGATGGAATCAGTGGTATACTAGAGTTATGGAGGGAACTTTGGTATCAAATGCTTATTGATCAGGTAGAAATAAAATGGAATATATGAAATGTAAGGCCAGCAAGATGTGCTAGCACTGCCTTGGAGGTGAAAAAAAGAAGATTGTAGGATTTGAGTTTGGTGGATGTTGAATTTAGAGGGGGGGATTTAATAGAAGATAGAACAAAATATTTTAGAGAGAAACAGAATTTAGAGAATGAGAGTTCTTTATTATTCAAGAGAATGTAATATATTGGTTCTGCAGATTATTCATAATATATATAGATTCTTGATAAACTTTATGGAGAGTGGAGACTATTTCCTAGGCTAATATTAATTGAGTTTGCTGGACACTAATACCCATAAACACTAAATGTATCTTCTGATACATGAACATACTACTTATTTCCCAACTGCATTATCATTTTTTATTATTTCCAAGTTCCAACACTCCCCCTCAATCGTTACAAATAAACCCTCTCTTGTTTGATAATATTGTATCTATTAAACCCAGTTGAAAAGATGACACAGGACATGATTAGACCAACCACTAAATACTCCTACAATAGTTGGAAATTAACATAGCTGTAAGTGGTAGTCTAGAAAGGAATTTAGGAAGTTTGATTTTATATCCTCCATTGAATTTTTTAAAATCAGGAGCAACAATGAAAGTATCACATGTCTATGAAGTTTGAATAATCATGTGTAAAATGAGAAAAACAGAACAAATAAAAATATTAGGAAATGAATCCAAAAGACCTTCATGGCTTCCTGTGAGATATATATGGGTAGACATTTATTTGCTGTAAAGCAGTCAACATACTAACATTTATACTTTAGTACATTGCCATATGCAGACAGCCATCCTAACTTGTATTTTCCTCTCTTTTCCCCCAGTTTATGAAGGACAATCCGCTAGATTTCATGGAGATTCAAACTGGTTCCTACCATGAATCAGAGGTAAATGCATTTTCTTTTAAAAATTGAATTTATGCCAGGTACAAGATCCTTCATTCTTGTATTGGTTTGGCCTTAAAGAACCACTACTTAATTCCCTGACCAAACTTTAAATTGCTGTGTAACATATAGCTGATAGACTTGTTTGTTTTGCTTTGTTTTTGAAAACTCCTGTGTTTTCCATTGTAAATTTTAATGTCGTTACTAAGGAGACTTTTCCGGCTCTATCAGTTTTAAGAGCTTTATTAATCCAAAATTATTTTACTTTTATTCAATTTACATCATTTAATTCTTCATATTTGAATTTGATCTTTGAAATTGTATGTTCAACTTAAGCATCTGAAATTGGTGTGGTGGATCAGTATTATTTGTTTTGCCTCAATGCATCGTTGAGTTAATCATTACAGCCAAGAAAGTCATAAATTTGATGTCTTTTTCAGTAGCAATGTCCTCTTCTTCAGTCTAAAAGCAAAATAAATAAATAATACAAAGGTCATGCAACATTTGTTCTTACTTTTTTCCCACTTTTTAAATATTCTAGGTACAGGATATCAAGTTCATGTGCAGGAGGAAAGGTGGAAATGGGAAAAAATCCTTATCCCATACTGAGTGGTGCCAATCTGTTCTGTCTCAACCTGAAGTGATATCAATGTCATTTGTACCAATTACATCTCTACTTGGTGGAATAAATGGGAGTGGATATTTAACTCATGCCATGAATCTCTATTTACGATGTAAGCAACTAAGTGTGACTCCTTTAGCCATTTTCTTATTTACATTTTGCTTCAAAGCCTATGGATTCAGCTGATACTATAGCAGTGTAGTTTTTTTTAAAAAAAATTAAATTTGTAGTACGATGATATATTTTGTTTATTAGAGAAACCCATGATTTCTTTATAGCAATGTTATCAATAATGTACTATAGCAGTGTGGCAATGCGAAGCAACCATTAACCACAGGCCACTAGAGTTTTGAGTGGCAGTATGTTTTGCAATAGGGGCTTCCAAAATAAAAGCTGCAAACAGCACTAGAGAGGTTTTTTGAAATCCATTTTTGCCCTCAAAACAGCACCATGTTCAGGAGTTTTTTAGCGAAAAATTGAGATTTCCTTCCTTTTTTAAACTTTGAAAAAACCCTAATTATTGAAATAGTTTCCCATGCTTTTATCTTACTACAAGACACCCTCACTGTTTGAGTAACACCCACCCATTTCCAGCTGTATTTCTGGTGGCACTCACCTTCCATTCTTTTCTCTATTTTGAGTAATGAATCCTCTTTGTTCTGAACTGTGAATCCTTAACCTCCTTTTTCTTTTCTGTGCAACATCCATCCTCACTTTTTATTGAATGTTTAAGATACTTTGTATTTGAAATTTGAAATATGAAGGTACTTGTATTGTTATTTTCAGACACAGTAACACGTGCAATTGCTCTAAGTTCAGATTCTGCTGAAGATTTTGTATATTTTCTCATTTAGTTGCCTGTAAATTCATTGGGAATTATTATGAGAAAATTTCTATCTGTAACTATAGTTTTGTATGTTATTGAAGATGGTCTAACTAAATGCTATAATTGTAATTCTTAATCCTTGCATTGGACATATAACCATCATCATCCGCTGTAACTTCTAACTGCAGATAAACCACCAATTGATGAACTGCATCAGTTTTTGGAGTTCCAGCTTCCAAGGCAGTGGGCCCCTGTATTTGGTGAGCTTGCCCTTGGGCCTGAAAGGAGGCCACAGAATACAGCATCTTTACAGTTCAGTTTCATGGGTCCTAAGCTCTATGTAAACACAATACCGGTAATGCTGCTTTTTTTATGTATAACTTTTTCTGTCCAGTTGGATTATTTCTATCTTTGGTTCTATGATTTCTACAATTAGTCTTCAATACATGTGGATTTTAGTACCTGTGCTCCCCTCTCCCTTCAATTATATAACAGTAACAGGGAAAATATGGTCTATTTAAGATGTGTTGTTTTTTTTTTTTTTTTTTTTATATTTTCAAATTTGGGACGGGGGATATTAGGATTATTCATTTATTCTTAGCTTAGAAGTGTTACTAAGCTAGGCTTGTGCTAGTTTCCCTTGGACATAGGCCTAAAGCATCAGTATGAATAGGAGTATTAGATCAGTTTTTATATCATTTCAATTTTGCAGAATTATTGAAAGAAAAAACATTCTCTCTTTCCTAATGATAGAAACTGGATCAGAAATGGAAGAAAAATAAAAAATTTCTTTATTGATTGTGTGTATCTTTACAAGGAATTCCCAGGATATTCGAGAGACTAGGCCTCTTGTAGTCCCAATTCTATTTCATCCAAATGACTGCCCTTCTTCACAACTTCTCTTCCTATTTATAGGCAACAGGCCTTATTTGTTTCTTCTTATCTCAGCCTAATTAACTAACTAACTTATGCCCTAAACTAACAGACCTATCACCTACTTTCCTTTAAGTTTGGTCTACTATGTCAAAAGAAACTTTTGAAACTAAAGAAATTATAACCTAAAGTTAGGGATCATAGTTTGCTTTTGTAGCATGCTTTTGTGCTTCATATGTTTGGATGCTTCGGTGATTTTCTTGGGTAAATTTGTTCAGTTCATTTCAACTAATGAAGAATACGATATATTCTCTGATGTGTGTACCTTATCTTTTGTGGGTTTAAACTAATACATTAGTTCATACTGAGTTTGTTTGAATAACTTTTTTCAAAAACACTTACAAGAGAAGAAAATAAAAAAAGAAGATAAAATAATTTTTTATAAGCTAAAATTAGCTTATGCTTTAGTTGATTTTTTTTAATAAAAAAAATCAATATAAAAGAGCTTCTGCAAATTAGTTTATGCATAAATAAATTTTAGCTAATGGGGCAACTAATTTTATTTATTTTTTCCTTCTCTTATAAGTGTTTTTGGATAGGTTTGTTCAAACAGACATTTTGTCTTTTTCGGTTTTTCCAGACTGTCAACAGGGATTAGTTAGACCCCCTTCTCTCGAGGCATCGAGTTTTATTCTCCTCGTGACTTATTAGATTCTTGGTCTAGTTAAGCAGTGATTGGGGAAGGGATGAATGAGAATTATGGCTACCTGTTTTAACCATGAATTAACTATTTAGAGTTTAAATTACCGTATTATTTATTTGATTGGATATTTTAGTGAAAAGTGAAAATTAGAAATATCAGTATCATATGATTTGCTTTTCTTTTTCCTGTTCCTATCTCTTATTTATCATCAAATATTTCGACACCAATGTATGAGTAGATGATGAACAAACTTAGTATTTCATATAAAACTTTTTAGTGACTATATTTTATGTTTCTCGGGGCTGCAAGTCACTCCCAATATCTGCGGTTTTTATACCTAAAGTGTAGTTAGATTTTCTCAATAATTTTAGTAGGAAATGTAAACCTGTTTATGACATTAAATTTTGTTGTTCGATACTCAATAGTTGTATAGATGAAGAGCCTTCTATTTCTTTATTTAGTTATTCAAAAGTAGTCAACTAATGTATGCATTATTAGATCTTTTGTAAATAATGTTACAAATGTGGTGATTTTGACTGACCTCGAACTGCTTACAGGTTGATGTGGGAAAGAAGCCCGTGACAGGCCTTCGATTGTATTTGGAAGGAAAGAGAAGCAATTGCTTGGCAATCCATTTACAGCACCTCTCCTCCCTGCCCAAAACCTTCCATCTCCAGGATGAGCCAAATGGGAATGTGTCTAATGACTCTTCGGAACGCAAGTACTATGAGAAGGTCCAGTGGAAGAGTTTCTCTCATGTTTGCACGGCCCCTGTTCAATTAGATGATGATATCTCCGTCGTGACTGGCGCTCACTTCGAAGTTGGAGAAAGTGGTCTTAAGAAAGTGCTCTTCCTAAGACTTCATTTCTGTAAAGTTGTTGGTGCAACCCGTGTGAAAGCACCGGAGTGGGATGGTTCTCCTGGCTTGACCCAGAAATCTGGAATAATCTCAACATTGATCAGCACTCACTTCTCAGGTCCACAAAAGCCACCACCGCCACGCCCATCTGATGTAAATGTCAACTCTGCTTTGTACCCTGGGGGGCCTCCTGTGCCTACTCAGTCACCCAAACTTCTAAGGTTTGTTGACACAACTGAAATGACAAGAGGACCACAAGACTTTCCTGGCTATTGGGTTGTATCTGGGGCAAGGCTTTTTGTGGAGAAGGGTAAAATATCACTTAAAGTAAAATATTCTCTTTTAACCGTGATTTTACCTGATGAAGAGGTGGTAAGTTTTTAATACATCAAATGCGGCGGGGTGGAGGATAATCTCATCAACTAAAGTTCAATGAGATGGGCGTGTGTATATAACAGTGTCTGATTCTTTTCCTTTGTACATTTGCCATTATTTGTGTATACCTGCACTGCAGAAACTTTTGGGGGAATTCCTTGATGTAGTTTTGGGAAAGGCTTGTGTAGTCATGCCCGTTGCATTCTTTTTTTTTTTTCGCCTGTATGTTTGAATGTAGTCCTATGTTAGTGGCTTCTTCTATGCAGCAGTTCATCTATCTTTTATCTCCAGTGCTTGTCAGTTTATTTTCACAATTTATTTTGTAGATTTTATTAAAATAAACTAAAAATATCTCATGTACACATCATAAATTATTATCATAAGTTCTCTCAAGCTTTCGCTTGTCTTAATATCATAAGATAAATTTAAAATTATATGTAAATAAGTTGTTCCAAAACACTGCCATATAAGTTTAATGGGGACTAAAAAAAGTTGCGTACAAAACCAAAGCGCCCTACAAGAGTTGAAGGTGCTTGTGATTATCATATATTCATCTAAAAAATTGTTTAGAAAAATAGAAAACTGACAATCTTTTCTAATTACTAGAATTGACTTAGTGACGGAGTTTCTGGTAGATGTATAAAGATTTCTGTTTGATTTTCGTTACCATAAAGTTAATATAAATTTAAAACAATTTATTATCGATATCTATATTATTAATAATGGTGATATTCTTTTTATGTACATATTATAACTGTTGTCTCTTGACTTCTAAAATACTCTTTTTTCTTTAATATATTTTATTTAATTTTTAATCTTTTTTCTCTATTTTTATGTAAATTTATTTTTGAAACTTCTTATGTCATTTAAATAACTTTAAAATCACTGACACCTTTTATTCACATATATTTAACTTCAATTATTTTTTTCATTTATTTTTTTCTTATTTTATATAAAAAAATATATATATACAGAGGCACAATGTACTTTTTTTATGCTAGTAATCATAATTATAATAATATACATTTAAAACAAAACTTTTTTTTTGGACATATGCAACAGGTGTGATGCAAAAACATGCTTCAAACATGTACCGCAAAAGCAATGTGTGTAACACTTGAAAATTGCAACATCTCCATGTAACGAGATGAGGCAACAATGATGTGTCTGTCCAATAAATGTGCATCAAGAATCTTGTTTGGAATAGAAGACCCAAGCGTCTTTTGTTTTTTCACACTTATTTTTTTCAACAGTATTTATATCATTGTATATACAAGTTTTAACTGTTTTTTTTCTTTCATTTTTTTTTTCTTATTAAACAACATACAAATCAAATAAATCCAGTTTGTTCTCAAGAATAACACTGATTAGTAGTAATGAACACAAGCTGGTTTTTATTTCAATTCAAGCAGTAAGCATAAAGCATGATATATTGATAATGCACATTCGTTAGCTGTATAATTGACCAATGATAAATAATAATAGTTTTAGAATCCTTTAAATTATCAAAGGTACCATAGAATTGAGATTTGATCCGACCAACGCATTCTTCTAAGGTTGTATAAAACAATTGACTGAGTCGATGCAAGCAACAACATTTCTTAGGTCAATACTCAACAATTAAACAAACAATTCCCGCGTTGCGTGAATTCACTTCCGCCGCCTTCAGTTATCAAGCATCGATGCTTCCTCTTTCAAACCAAAACAAAAACGTTTTAAAAATTTGCATGCAAACATAACTACCTTGTCATCATATCAATGCATTTATAAGTATCACATCATAAATAAAAAATAATAAGTCTTAAAATAAGTATTGTTTTAACTTTACAATATAATATTAATTATTTATTTTTTTTCATTTTTATTCCTAAGTGTGTTTTATTGTTTCTACCAAAAAAATAATAAAATAATTTTATATAATTACTATTCTCTTTCACCTATTTATTATCTTTTACTAGTTTGCATGAAAAAACTTTTAAGTGACACTTAATATATAGTGGATAGAATATAAAAAGTTGAAAATAATTAAGGATATTTTGATGAAAAAATAATTAATGAAAGATTATTGAAAAAAAATTATATAAAAAAATAGCCAAATTTCTCGAAGAATTCTTATGTAAAGGGCAAAGACAGTATAATAAAAGGGTATGACAATATGTAATTCATATTTTACCTTCCCTCCTCTAGTAAACCTTAACCAAACAACATAGATTTTATGCCATTTTCCCTCTCTTTCTATTGAACCAAATTAAACATGGATTTTCGTTTAAATCAAGCATGCTGTGAAAGCCCATTGTTCCTCTCAAATGTACAGCATGATCTACATTTGAGGAAAGTAGCTACGCCATTTTCGGCTGTGACAATACTCAATAGGCATATGAGCAAGGTAACCAAAGCAACAATTATACATATAATGAAGAACCACGTGTAGTACCATATCCTCACTGTCTATACACTCTAAAGAACAAAAAACCAGAATCCACTCCGCTCCAATAGCAAGTGGGAACTTCAATCACATTGGTACAAGCAAGAATGATTATCATCTCAACAATCTCCTTGGTTCCATATCTACATCATGATGTGGAGAGCATTTCACCAAAGCAAAGCACCCTAATGAACCAAAAATGCATCCAAAATTTGGCATTCAGCACTTGCAGCATGAGTATGGTATATTTACAAAAACTAGTTCCATTCTTCTGTCCACATCTTGCCACTACCCTTTCATTTCAAAGGCACTCAAGAATAGTTGCAAATTATCTGGCCACTTCTAGTCTGTCAATCACATCCAATGCTCTCTTTTTGTCAATACCAAAATCAATCACAGGAAGCTTAGACATAATTCTATTGAAAGATAGTTCCTTGCTTCTACTTGTTGATGAATAACTGCTACTCTTTGTAAGTCTGCCATTATCTGTCAAGCCAATCTTCACACTGTCAAAGTCCAAGCTTTTACTGTTCCCTCTTAAGCGAATTTTATTACTAACATCTTGCAGCATTTTCTGCTCGTCAGTCGTTAAAGCATTTGTAGATTGTTGATTTGATGTTTGCAGGGCAGTGCCAACATGGGACTTTAAGGGAGACCTTGTTTCTGCATCAATGCCGGCTTTAATTTTGACAGCCAAGCGGTGAAGCCATAGGAGAAGTTCAAGAATATAATTTTCTACTTTGTCTTTATCAGCATGGTGAAGCGTTTCGATCCGCATCACATCAGTCTTCACGGTCTTTTTATTAAGCTCAGAGCTGCAAGAATCAAACAAGATTTTGAAAACAGAAAGGAGGAGCATAAAAATAGTAAAAGAAAAAAGTGGAAAGTGAAAACATATAAGGTTAGATTTCAAAATAGTAACAGAAGATTGTTGCTTACCCAGTGTTTGCCCACTCTCCTACCCAACCAAAACCATGATGAGCTCTGAGTCAATTTTAGAGTAACCAACCAAAAGAACAGTCAGCTTATATAGCAAATGAATAAATTGATACTAAAAGAAAATTTCTCAAACATGTAGAACTTAGAACCAGACATCTTACTTTGCTGTGTTTGTAGCAATCGGAACCAGCCAATGCAATGTTTTCTCCATCTCTTGTTTAATATCTGATATGGTGAGCTGTAGGAAACAGACGTCACAGGGAAATTGCAAATACACAATTAAAAAAACTAAATTAATATGGGAAGTTTTCAACAATAGCTGAATGTAGAAAGCTGAAAGCAGAAGAGAAATAACTTGTTCGTTGATCATTTTCCTCACCATTCAACTTATATATGAAGTTGCACTGTTTTAAAAATCTAGGAAGGCCATAAGGTAAGTCCTATGAATTAAGTATTGAACGTGAAGGTATTAGTTGAGGATTGATTATAGGAGATTGAGTCTGTTAATTAGGATCAGTGGGGATTACTCAACAATAACAAACATATAAATGTATTTTTTACCCTCTAAAGGCTTTCTAATTGTCTCGATCTCAAACTTTTTCAGACCATTATCTTGTCTCTTAATTTTTTAAACAGTGGTAATAGGAGGAAGAACCAGCAGATAAGATTGTACCTCTTTTACAACATGAAAGCTTGGTATTTTGGAACGCAAAGCTAATTTTATATTAGGAGGTAAGCTCTGATACAATGTATCCCTTGTATTTGAAGGCATAGAACTAGATCTAGCAACCTGACAGCATCAACAATGGCTTAGTAGAATGTTCTTCAGTGCATAAGCTTAATCACAAGCAGACAATTATTTCGACAACTATGTAACTACACCTGATACAGACCTGGAACTCCAAAGTGATTCAGCCATAAACATATTATATACCAATTAGCAAATGGTCAAAAATAAATTTACAGCCTGATAAATGCGTAAAGAGTCTTGAATCAAATAAAGAGTGGTCTAGTTCCATATTACTTCAGTCAAACTTTAACCAAAAGATATGGATAAGCATACTGATAGTACTTAAGTTATGAAATAAATACAATAAAGAAGAAACACTTACAAGAGTATCAATTTGGAGCACTATATTAGCATAATGCAAGGCAAGGCCTGCAGGACCTAATTTTTGGCGACTGCTGACAGTTCGGATTAATGGTTTATGGTCATCTGCAGGTACCCGTGGGTAAACACCATTACAATCATGAATGGAAACACAGTTTTCATTACAAATTGATCAGAAGGGTGAAGAGTAATCTGATCATTTGATGAGAATAAAACCAGATTACTTTCCTTCCTAGTATCCTCTACTCCCCTACCCCCCTTCTTTTTCTCCCATTCAAATTTTAAAAATTTCCAAGAACTAAAAAGTAACTGTAAAAAGGCTGAAATTTGTAGTGGCTATCAATGATATCAAATGAGTTGTCATATACGCATCACAAAAAATGAGTTTTTATATTGTTAAATGATAATGATTAAATTGGGTGATACTAGAAGAGTATAATACATCAAGTGAAGCAAGTATGATCTTAATATGCCTTTAGTGGGGTAAATACCTGCAGTGCCAAAGGCATTGTTTATCTCCAAATGCAAAAATTGGACTATCTCTACAAGCTTCTCCATAACCTGTAATCCATTAGATTATGAATTATACTCTCCTTTTTCTCAATTTTTCATGTATGTTATGCTCAAAATGAAACCACTGATATCAATGAAAACATGTTAAGAGTCACTACTTGTTCTTGCATTATACATGGATAGAATGCAATGTAAGGATAAAACAAGTCAAATAGAGGAGAATAAGAGATGATAATCATTCATGTACAATAGTAATCTGAAGTTACCTCCTCCAAACTTCTGGACCAGAGTGACTTTTTTTTCAAATGTTTAACTTGCTTCTTTTGACTTTTAAGTTCTGCCCTCAAAATTGAAAGGCCATCACCTACATGATGAGGAGAGATAGTCAAGATTTTATACATAAGAAATTGCCGATAGAAATATTGCTCAATATAACACAGTCATACTTCTAGGTCAGAGTGACTTTTTCTTTGAAAGTGTGTTGTATAATAACCAGCCCATATGCACATGCTCAACAAAAATATGCAGTTCAGGCTCCCAAAAAATTCAAATAAAAAATCAATGAAAGCCAAAAGAATGTGCTTTAGCAGCTGTGACCGGACTGAAAAGACATACACTAATTCTTTAAAACTGCTTAAACAGATCAAACCTAGTTTTCATGTATCTTTCTCCATGTCAGAATCAATTGTGTTCAATATGAGTCTTGTCCAAGTTTCACACACTCCCTCTAAATGTTTAAACATCAAAATCTTCTTTTTCAAATTAAAACCCATAATAGAGTTTTGGATTTTATGTCAATAACTGCTTGTCACAAACAAGAATCGCATATTATGTCATTGGTAGTACTCTTTAATTACCCTTTTGAGCTGGACCTGAATTATCCTCCTCTTCCTGCTTATGCTGATAATCTTGCGCAAATCTATCCAAAGCGTGTAACTCATGGTATAATTCCTGATGCCATAAAAATTGATTTTCCAATATCTTTCAGAATTAAATCCCACAAAAAAAATGAAGTATATGTGTATGTGTATATATATATATATATATATATATATATATGAGAATTGAGAAGATACCACACAATGAGCAATAAATACATTCCTCCCACCTCAGTTTATTTCATAAAATCATCAATTTACAAGTAAATATGTAATATTTCTGCAATTATTTATGATGCTATATTCCTTCAATAGGATCAGTTATTCAATCATCGCAGAAAGAAAGTCCAGCCAAGCATCCCATTTGTTTCATTCCAAAACATTCATGTTATTATGAAGTAGTACTGAACTACTCATATTTGAAGTCCAATTTATTAACATACAAGGTTTACAACAGGGGGTGATCATGGAAATTATAACACCCACAGATTAGTACAGAGCTAAAAGTAGTTGAACCTGAATACAGTAACTCCAATTAACTTCGGACATAGATATTGTTGCATGTAAGAGACATAAGTAGGAATAAAGAAAGTGAGGGATACAAAGAAAACCCTACATGCAATTGATATGTAACACAGGTACAAGAAAAGTAGTGAAACATCCTTGGGAAATAGTGCAAAAAATTAAATTTTGGTTAAAAAGTTCCATTTTAAAAACTATTAATTACTCTACTAACCACCTGAGTGTTTTATTTTTTTACAAAAACAAAAGGCAAAAGAAAAAAAAAAAACTGCATTACACTTTTTCAGCTTCAAAAGTAACTACCAGTTCGGAACAAGCAACAGTACATATTTATATAGTAAAGGAATACACTTACAGCTGTATACTGAACCAAAGTCATCAATTGTTGCATTAATAATTCTGCCTCCTCCTTTGATTGTCTTTGAGAATTAAGTTCTCTGATAATTCTGAAATTTACAATAAAAAGATGGGTTGGAATGAAATATGAAAGGCTAAAATTTGTTTTCCTGAAAGGCTATAACTTAGATGAATTGAGTGAGTACAATTTATATTACTTCTCAAAGTATCGGTCCAAGTTGTGCCACTGAGGATCCTTTGAGCGATTTCCAAAACGAATTACCTCATCAGAAAAGACTTTCAACTCATCCCTAGAAACATAAATCAAAATCACATACAATTTGGCATTTTATAATGACATGGAGAACTAAAATAGTTGAAAGTTGGCCTGGTCATGAAATAGAAGCCCCTTGTTAGGAATTTCACTTAATTCAACAGTTACCTCTTGTCTGCAGCAACAATCCTTAGAAGTTCATCCGTATCCTTTGATACTAAATCTTGTACAGCCTCTAATGGAAGCACCTCTTCCTTTAAATGTTTAATACTTTTTGTTGAAAGAGATTCCATAAGACTAAAACCCTTTACAATAGTGTTTGCAACCTCAAATGCTAAAATACCAATTTCATTCCCCTTCATCGTAGCTCCAGATACAAACCCACCACCGCTTAAATTTGTCATGCTGCTCCCAAGAGTGTCCAAAACGTCAACTGCCTTCCCAATTCCAATAGTGCCAGCTCTACCCAGGCGTAAACTCACCTCTGAGACCTGAAATAGAAATATCTCATTAGATAACTTCAATTTTACCTTATGTTAGCCTACTTATCCCCTTTCTCTTCATGAGAGCTTAGCTTGCTCTAATTAAACTAAAGGGATATCATAAATATAATAAAGAGTAAACATATTTGGCAGTGGTAAATTAAAAAATATGGGGAAAATAACTAAACACAGCAAATCAAATCAGATTCAACCAGTATAATGAAGAAGAAAAAGATGAAGAATGTGATGTTCAGACAATAGAAGTACTTCAAGTCTTCAACCAATTCAAAGGACTAGTCCATGATTCATTAACTTTAGGACATTAGTTGCTCAAACTTTCAGTTTTCTCTTACTATTTCCATTGGCAAAATTTCTGTATAAAGTTTTGCATTTCATAATCTTCAATTATTCTTTACTCTAAAATTTAGAGAAAATAACACCACCACCAATTTCCCAATATTTAAAATTCAACATTAACAACGAAATCCCTAAGATGAGCAAAGCAAAAAAAACCCTAGTAATGCTACGACCAGCAAACCTAAGCTAAGACTCTAGTAAACATAAACTGGGTCAATTAACCTGTCCAGAAACTTAGTTCAGAAATTTGAACAAAGCCTAAATCTCCCTAATTCTCAAATCACGAATGTATGCATCAATCTAAAACAGTACTTCTTCAAACTACATTTCACCCCTCATGTTGGAGAAAGCTCATTCTTTATTTGAAATAATGATTTAACAGACAAACGTAACAGGTTGCAGTGGAATAACCAACAACGAAATTGGAAAGTAACAGAAAAGTGAAACAAATGGTGACTGCAACAAAATGGCAATATGTGGTGAAAGAAGCAATGATAAAATCACCTTTGCATTCTCAAGCTTTTCAGAAATTACAAGATCAATGGTTTGCTAATAACATTATCTTAAACAGCAATAACGCTACCAAGACCAACATACATAATGTAATTCAGAACTTGATATACTTGTTCCCAACATGCTTTTATGAAGTGGGTGACTCTGCAATTTGAATGAAGTTTGGCTCTAATGCTAAACTGATGAAGAGCAAGAATAGTAAAATGGGGAAGAAACTCAAATACTAAACAGTAAATATGTATACTCAACAGGGTTGAAATCACCAAGCCCAATAAGGCTGCTCAAACAACCCCAATACTCAATAGGAAAAGCAACCTAACCTAGCCTTAAGACTCAAGCATACATAAACTATGATATTTGAAATTCTTCTTCACACAACTACATAGTGTCTCCATTCCAAAACGTCCAAAAACCATCCTTGCATAAGTTCCATTCCCTAAAAGCTATCCTTTCAATCCCAATCAAATATGTAACATAAACTATCCAAATTTTCATTGCCAAAAAAATCATCTTTGTCAATCACTAACACCTGAAGATATAAAATAGAATCTAAAGAAATAGATTGAGGACAACTCTACTTTCACCCTGGATCTATCTGCCCCAATCCATCACCAACTGCACCATGTTTCATGACTATACGAGGCTTCTGGGAGACTCAGATTACTGATTGATCAGCTCACAAGTTGAGTACAGAAACAAAATGTTACAAAAGAAAAGAAAAAAAAGTTGGTGAAACAGAAAGAGGGAGAGAAACCAAATAATAACCAACCTTTGATCTTCCTGACCTAGATTTTTGGGGAAAAGAATCATTAAACCGTGGGATTCCATCATAGAATTCTTCAGAACCAGTTCCTGCAGGTGCACCACCACCATCTGCTAGTTGCTGTTTCTTGTCCACTCCATCCCTTGCACTTGCCAAATCACTAGGCATGGTGGTGGACTTGTGGTTCCTACCATCAGATTTATGGTTATCAGAATGTCCATCTGCCTTGGCAAACACCTTGTCACCTTTGGCAGACTTTGAACAAAGACCCCCCATGTCAAAAACTCAACCTTTGCACAGAATAAACTCCACTGGCAGCTCAGCTCAGCTCATCTAAATCAGAGACTGATATTAAAGACCACCCTTTTATTTTTTGTGCTCAATAAAGAATGGTGTAATAGTAATTTTAAGGAGAAAAATAGGTGGAACTTTATCATGCAAGTTTATAAAGAAATTAAACAGTTCCAAATAGGCAAGTAGAGAATAGAAGAGAGGGTGAAAAGGGGGTATGGAACTGAGACAAAGATTGAAAATTGGGGAAGAAAAAGTCCACCCTCAACTTCTCTTTGGTTGCCAAGAATATATAATATAATAATGCATAATTATTAATAATATTATTATAACAATATGTTAATAATAATAAGATTAATGATGAAATAGAAGAGAGGAAAATCATAGTATAGAGTTATATGAAAAAAGAAGAAGAATGGAAATAATATGTTATGACAATCAAAGGGACATGAATGAGGCGGCGGTTCTAGTAGGTTAAGGAGTGAGCAGTAAGCCAACGCTACTCTCTCTCTCTCTCACCGATTACTGACAACATGGAAACTTGTCATGTTCAACCTTGTCTTGTCGCTTCAAAGATTATAAAATTGTAAATTTTGTTTGCTGCCACAATAAACATTTTCAATTAAAGCCAGATAAGACTTTACTTGTTAAGAAACTTCAATTAATAATTATTTTACGGTAATAAAACTGCAATCAAGTTTTATTTATTATTATTTTTTAAAAAATTACAATAACCGCACTAAACTTTTTATATATTACTAATAACTCATTGACACACCTAAAATTTGACTCGATGTCTTTAAATAAAATTTTAATTTCAAATTTATGTATAAAAAATATAATTAAAAATTAACTATAAATAAACAATTATATTCTTACTTTATAAAGATTAATGATTGAAATCAATAAATATTTTACACTAATAATTAAAAGAAAATTTCTTATACATTTTCTTTCGTTATCCCAACCAAGTTTTATTTTACTTAATAAAGTAAATTCACATATGTTGTCGTTCAAAATTTTAACTAATTTCTAATTCTAGTAAATGTTAATCAAATTTGTGCCATTTGATTTTCTTAAGAAAATAATTACTTCTTTAAAAATTTGATAAATAATTTTTTTTTCAAAATATTATTTTATTCTTTTTAAGTATCTACCATAATAAGAAGTATCATTAATATTTTATTTTTATTGAAATTATTATTTGATTTTCCATTATATCTTTTGTCCATCTTATTAATCAAATTATTTGTTATTTATTATTTTTCATTCTTTCATTTTTAGTTTCATAACAAAGGTGTAAAAATTATTCTAGAGCTACATCAAAATAAAGTATAAATAAAGTCTATATTATTATTAAATTTCAATGATTTAATTATATAATTAATTTTATTAAATAAATTAAGTCTATAATATATTTTAAATTTTTAAAATTATTTAATATTTTATTATATACATTCAAATTAATATATAATATATTTTCATGAATGTATGTTAATTCATGTATAAATAGGTAAAAGTTAATAAATCATAAATTATACATATTCATTTTAAATTAATATGTATAGTAGAGTAATATTTTGTAATTTATTAAAAATTAATAAAGTTTTATTTTCTATTTATTTAAAATAAATTTGAAAATAACTAATTAAAATTTCAGAGGTTCGAAACATGAAAATTCAAGAAATTTATACATAAAATAAAGAAAAGTTGATAAAAAAATAAATTAAGAGAACTAATTAAATTAAAAGAATTTTAAAAATCCATTTTTTTAATAATGAGAATCAAAATAAAGTCTTTATGTATCTACTTCAACTCCCACCACTTGGTTATTTTAGTAATTTTAAAAGTAATAATGAAAAATTTTATTGTAATCTCTCTTATAAAATAAAATTTATTTATTAATATTTTTATTAATAAAAATATCATATTAAAACTAGTTAATATTGTATAATTATTTAAATATGTCATAATTATTTATGTTATTAATGACATGAAAAATTAAGATAAGATTCATTAAAATTACATAAAATTAATTTTAAATTTAAGAAAATTAATAAAAATAAATTTATCTTAAGAATGATTAATTAAAAATATATGTAAATAAAAGACAAAATATATATATATATATTTTGTTGATTTACCTACTTGTAAAAGTATCATGTTATTCTTTACGGAAGTGTTTTATTTCTTTTGAAAGATGTTATAGTTGTTTCTTATACTTGTAGGGTGTACAATGTAATTTAGGATTTTCTTTTGCTCCTTCTCATAATTAAAGAAAAAAAAGTGTCATTTTATTTATCTGATGTCAATAGTATGCAAATTGGATAGTGATTTATATTGAGATCACCTGACATGTTGAAGAGATGTAAAATAAGTTGAAATAGATTTAAGTGAAATAATCACCAACTATCTAATTTTTTAATTTGCAATTTATATAATTATAAAAATGTTTGGGGGGACAATTAATCACTTGGTTTTTGTATATCTGCACATGAGTTTCGTAGGTCTTCATTCAACGGAAGAAAAATGTAACTTTTTATATACGGAAGAAAACACCAAAAGATGGATAAAAGAAAACACTAAAATGAAAGCTTACGGGTCAACGAAGCATCACTTGCCTTTCCAAATCTGACAAATGGCTTTGGATATAAAGGAAATCCTTGTGGGAACATTTGACCAATTCCTGTCTCCATCTATACCAACTTATTCTTTCAATTTTTTCGTTTCATACCTTAAGCTTTTAGTTCATCATCTTTTTCTTTTTTCAACACTTGAAAACTTATCCATATTCTTTTTATTAACTATAGTAACAATATTCAAAAGATGGTTACAAAATAGTAAATGTTTGTATGGGGAAATTATTAAGCTCTTTCCTAAAATATTAATTATTTTATCACTAATATATTAATATTTATACATATATGTATAGTCATGTTTACATCATCTTATGTTATTTTATATTTAAATAAAAATAAATAATCATTCTATAAAATTAACTTTATTTTATTTGAAATGATAAATACAATAATTACTTTCTCTTTCTTTTCGGTAAATAATTATTTTCTATTTCTAAAGAATACTATTAGAAAAATAAAAAATATTAATATTATATTAAAAAATTAACATAATACTTATTTTAAAATTTATATTTTTCTGATATAACACTTACTATTAAATGAAGAGGTTAATATTAATATTTTATACTTATTTTAAACTTTTGTTTAGCAAATCTAACAAAGAGAGTTTAATAAAGAGAGTCTAATCGAGAGAGTTTGGTCGAGTTTTCAGTTGAATACTTCGTTAGATATACTTTTACTTGTAAAATAATTTGACATTTATCTGATTTAAAAACTCGTATATCTAAAACAGTTCAAGATTTATAATCGTAAAATAATTCAATATTTATCTTACTTAAAAACTCATATTTAATATAAAATTTAATCATTAATAATTATAATTAAATATCAAAATATAATACCATATTTTCACAAAAACTTAGATTCTGAAATTTCATGAAGGCATAATAGTTTAGTATAAAATTAACGTTCTAGAATAATGGTGAACATAAGACACTTTTAAATATTTTGCCTTTATACAAATAATTAGGATATCTCTTTCGTATTTATTTATTTATTTATGACAGGAACCACAATATATAATTTATTTATATTTCTATTCATTTTGAAAATATCAGCCTAGAACAATGATAATTTAAATTGGGCAAACATGGAAAATCTAGAAGGGCAGGTCAACGAATGACTGCTGAGTCCTTAATGGAGGAAGAAGACGAACATGGCCGACTAAACAAACAAACTTGTTCACGATGAAGCTAAGAATCCTAAGTTCTAGTTTGAACAAAAGTTAACAACGAATCTAAGCACACGGGCATAGAATAGAATAGAATAAATAGTATACGAAATTTCCCCCTAACTTCGTCCAAGGATTTGTAAACTCTCCAACAACATAAATCTCGCTGTCGAATCACTTTTTGTATCACGAAACTAATACTATATATTTTGATAATTTAAATTTTGAGATTTTCACCAAAACAAATCCTTCATTCATTTCACGTTAGCATTAATTAATTCGTGGTAACCTTTTACGCACTGTGGTGCACATTTTACAATCTTTTGCTGTTTTGCACATTTCTCACCACAAACAAAGTCAAATAATAATTCTGTCTTGTTTTTATGAATTTGAACAATAAAGTACGACAACCCCGTGCACTGTCCATAGACAGCAAAATTTGCTCCCAACAAAATGAGATAATCAGTCACACCAAATAAAATTTGGAAACAGTATTTAGGAGAAAAATGCTAATTGAAAAGGACAAATATACAATTCTACATCTGGCCAAAAATTGTCATTATGAGATCTTACATTTTATACAAATGTAAAAAAGTAATATTAAAAAAAATAATTGATAAAAGCATAAAAAAGAAGACAAGATGGACCGCTGTCCCCGGAGAGAAGTCTCCAACGAACAAATCAATGCGGGAGAATTAGAAATCACGGACAGGATCTTATATCTATTTTTTTTTAATTTATAACTATTCCTTTATATATCATAATTTTTTATTTCTTATATAAATTTCATTTCATAATCACTGATATTTTTCACTAATTACTCATTATTATATAATTTTTTTATTATTTTTAAAATTTACAAAGATATAAAAATATTTTTTTATACTAATTAAATATAAAATTTATCATTAAATAAATTTGTTTTAAAGAGATCTTAAATTTTTATGTCAGACTCATTGACTTTTGATTACACATTAAATATATTAGTAATTACACAATAAAAGTTTAGATAATGCTTATCTAAATTAAATAAAGTCAGATATATTTATCTATGATTAAGTCTTGTAAAAAGTAACATTCAATCTTACTTAACAATTAAAAAATCTTAAACATACTTAAATAATTGAATAGTTAATGAATATTTTTTTACTTATATATAGGTATGTTTCACCTTCAGAAAATACATTTATTCTTAAAAATATATTAAAAATTTCAATACTTAATAATTTATACATTAAAGTTTTTATATGTATAATTATCACTTATAATATTAAAGACGGAAGACAAAATATTTTAAATTAAAAACTTTAGACAAATACTATTCAACAAGTACAACATTATCATTTAGATGTGTAAAGATAATGTATGGTTAATACACAAATATTGTAATAATTTAGATTTTGTGACATACTTAATTGGTTGTGTAAAGTCAATAAATAGTAATATTGTTTATTCTTATGTTTCCCTTTTGGGTGAATGAATTGGTTTAAATTTTGTTTCTATATATGCACTTTTAATTTCTATCTTCTTTTTCATTTGGAATAACTTGTAACTAAAAATTTAATGGTTAAAAATAAAAAACTCACAAGTTAATTAATGAAGTTAAACATATTAAATCGTGTGTAAATATATTATAAATGTAAAATAATATTTGTATCATTGTTTAACAAAAGTGAAAATTCTTTTTCTTGAAAACAATATATCATTAGTTAGATTTTATTTACCTCTCAATCAAATCAAATTAATTTCAAGTGAAACATTAATTCACTAATACAAAATCAAAAAAAGTATAAAACATAATTAAACATAAATGATTCACTTGTAAAATAGGAGTCATGCACCAATAAAACATAATTAAACAAATAGAACCAATGTTATTATTGAATTTGATAAAAGTATACTAATACATTTAGAAAAAAAATTATATTTACCTCACCTTTTAAAAAAAATAAGCAAAAATTCAATTACATAACATCAACATCAACATCAACATCAACGTGGTATATACCACCTTGTGTACTAAATAGAGTAGTATATATGGTTCCTAACTCTTTTCCAAAACAATTGATCCATGCCATTAGGTTTATTCTCCTGTAGCACCTTTTGAAAGTCTTATTGTGCCGGATTCCTAACCTTCCTTTCCCATAATACAGAATTTTCAGTTTCAACAAATTTCTCCACTTCAAAGTTCACTATATTTATGTCTCATTTGTTACCAATTGTTAGTAATAATAATCAGATTCAATTCACTTAATCATAACCTAACAAAAGGTGATCCAATTGCAAAAGACAGATCGATGCTATCACTTTGCTTCCTTCCACATTATTCAAGCATCTCCTCATTTATAAAATATAATTTTTTATCCGACCGATAAAATTAATATAATTGAACACACACGGCCATTTTTCTTAACCTAAATAGATTCGGTGACGGAACCTGGGGAAGCAGGAGCCTTGGTCCCCCACTTCCTCGATTCTTTGAGAAATTTGTACTATAATAAGTACATTGATTATCTTAAATATATAATTATTTACTAAAAGAATATTTAACTTATTCTTTGACTAACTCTTTCTGGTTCAGTTGTTATAATTATGAGACTACTTTTAATTATGTAGATTGTAAAAGATAAACTCATGAATAAGATGAAAGATAGATTTTTTTTTATTAATTGTTTGGTTTTATATTAAGAAATTGATTTTAGAGTTCATACTATTCTATATTGTCCATTAATCTTGTGATTTTACAAAATAATATTCATAAGTTAGATAAATGAGATAATATACGTAATAATTATAATTTAATATTTATTTAAATTTATTATTAACAAATTTAATGACTATTTTATACGATAATATTTTTAGAGACTATTCTTAAATGAGAATGTTTTGATAAAACTTTTTAATTTTTTATCTAATTTAGCAACCCGTGTATATTAAAAATAACAATTATGTTCTACAATAAACTTTTTAGGAATTATTGCTAGATGAAAGGGTTTTGACTTTTGAAGGATAATTTTAACTTTTTATATAGTTTAATTTTTTATTTATTATATTTATTTATAAATTAAATTTTAATATTTAAAAATAAAATTTTTAATAATTAAAATAATATATATAATATATATTTATTTTAAATCTAAACATATATTTAAAGATATATACTTATATTAATTTTAAATATAATATTTATTATCAATTTTAGTTATAAGGATAAATATAATAGTAGTTATCATTAAATATTTATATAATAAATATTTAGTCCGTAAAATGTAGAATTATAATAGTTATCATTAAATTCAACAAAAATGTACCATTACATAAAACTCATTTTTAATGCTCACGTGGTTAAGAATTTTAAATAAAGAGCACAAAGACTTTATGTTTTTTAAATAATTAATTTTTTTTAACATAATATATAAAATAATTAATACAGAAAAAGTTATTTCTTATGCCAAAAGTGACGATATCCGTTTCTAAGGAAGAAAAGTTTGTATTTAAATAACATTTAGAAAAAAAGGATGAAATATACTTTTAATCACTTAAAATAATTTTAAATATTAATTTCAATCCCTTTAAAAATTTAATACATTTTTAGTCCTTACATTTTATACATAAAAAAATACACATTTTTAGCCCCTTGTAAAGGTGTAATAATCTGACTGGTCTCTACACTTACTACTTAATGATTAAGTAGCAAAAAATATAAATATAATCTAACTTAGTATTATCATGCAAATAATTAATGAATATTCATGCAACAAAATATATGTATAAGAATAAGTAACTTAAAACATAAATATCCTTCCGTGAGATTGCATCGTAGTCTTGTACACATACAAGATATCTAAATTGCAAACATACAAAAATCTTAAATTGTCAAGTAACAATCTATGGACATGTTGTATCAAAACAACCTCCACCAAAAACCACTAAAATCGGCATGATATCAAATCTATGGACATGCTTTCTATACTCTCATAATAATATTGATTATTACATCATATAAACATGAAAAAGTAAGTATAAACTTATATGCAAAGAAAACAATATAATATAAAAACAAATAAGACAACTATATGAACATCATTAACATCAACTACTTAGCAACAACCATATGCTCAACTTAACAACACAATTAATAAACTCATAAGATAAACTTCACAACATAGCAACACTAATATACAACTCATCGACATGTTAACACAACAATTTAACAACATAATAACATTTTAATTTCACAACATATCAACTATACAACACAACAATTTTTGTGCTTATCAATCATTATAACTAAAAAACTCTTACAATACAAGTGATCAGTTTAAATAATTTGATCCTATCAAACCAACACAATACAACTCAACAACATGTATCATCAATGTGGTTATACAATATAACTCAATACAACAACATAGCTAAACAAACATAGTAAAATATAACTTAGAAGCTTCAAATTCTCTAAAGAAATCATCACTTAAAGTTTCATTACATGTGTTATGAGCAAGTTAAATTCGTCCCAAGCGTTCAACAACTTGCTTTAAGTGAGTTCAAACAAAAATTACATCTAAAAGATGAAATTAGTTCACTTGAGTAAATAATGTATTCACTTTAAACAAAATAAAAAAGATCAAAACAACTTCACTTTTAATAAGTATATAGATTAAAAATATATTAAATTTATATATAAAAAAACTAAAATCAACATTCAAAGATATCCAAGAGAATAAAAACAAGTTTTAATAAAAAAAATATATTTACCTCACCTTTGAAAAAACAAGTGAGAGTTCAAAAATTTACGTGCCATAACTTATATGAGTTTTTTTTTCTTTTCTTTTTAATGTTTTACATATATTCTCTGTATGAGACACAATCTAATAGTACTAAATATAGATCTCTTAATAAAATTTTGAAACTTCGGTTCATCAACATCAATCCATTATGCCAGACAAAACTCGGAAATTCCAATGAAAAAATTAGGTGTCTTTATTTGGTGTGGTGACTTATCCTAATTTAAACAGTTTTATTAAAAAAAACTTGGTTGGTCAATAAATCCTCTCTTGCTTCATTGAGTTCACTGAATCCAATATTGGAGTTAAAATAATAAATTTCAATAACATGAAAATTCGGCAATTAAATTCGCAATTGAAATGCAAGGAAGAAACAAATTTAGAGTTACAAGAAAAAGTGAAAACGCTAATAATAACAAGTAATCAACAGATACGACCAAAGCCGTTTCAGGACTCTCAAATCATTGGCTCCATCCAACCTGACAGACAGACAAGAGTACTAGGCTAGAGTGCCATAGTTTATTTTATTTTATTTAATAGGAAAAAAAAATAAAAAAATAAAAAACTGAATTGCTGAGTTGTGAGTCGGAAAGTGAATCTAGGAGAAGCGTAGCATTTTCATCCGTGGAGAATTCATATCTAGGGTTGGGTTTGATGTAATTAAGATTCAAGAACAAATCGGAAGTTGCACGCCCAATGTGAGGATCGTAGATGAGCTCCAGTAATTTGACGGGGTTCGTGTTGGCTGTGGTTTCCAGCGCTTTCATTGGCTCCAGCTTCATCATCAAGAAAAAGGGCCTTCAACTCGCCAGTGCCAATGGCCCACGTGCCGGTCTCTGCTCTCTCCCAACCTCTTTTCTTCTATTTTTTTAAAAAAGCATTTTTTTTGGAAAATAATGTTTCGTTGCTTGTGTTTTGCATTGTTAATTTTCAGGTGTTGGTGGCTATGGTTACTTGCTTCAACCCCTCTGGTGGGTCGGAATGATTACCAGTATGCAACATTTTTCCCTTTTTTACTCTATACTTCAACCATTTCCATTTTTTAAAATTTTTTTTTCTTCTGATTTTAATTTTTGGTTGTAGTGATTGTCGGAGAGATAGCTAATTTTGTAGCATACATTTATGCCCCTGCTGTTCTTGTTACTCCACTCGGTGCTTTGAGTATCATTGTTAGGTAAACACTAGTTTCTATTTTATTTAAGGATTCCTTCATTACTTCATTATTTTTATTAGGTTAAACTATTTACTTGCTACTTATAGTGTATTCATTTTTTAAGTTTTAGTTCCTAAATGAGAAAAATGTAAGTTTGGTCCCTAGACATTTTCTTGTAGCAGTTTATCAGTGCCGGAAAGTTTTTTTTAGCAATTTTATAATATTAGAAGAGAAAATAGGCCATGCATTCAATCACTTAATATTATATTCCATAAGTTTGATAACTTTTATAATAACTACTTTAATGTCATATCAATAGTGATTTCTGAATGATTGATAGTGCAAAATAGTGCATGACTATTGAACGTAAAGTGTTCTCCAATATTAGCTAGAGAGAGCAAAACTTAGGCAACCATGCATGTATAGAAAGTTAGAGACTAAAACTTACATTTTTCTTGTATAAGGAATAAAACTTAAAACTGGGACAACCATAGCATCCAAGTCAATAGTTTAACCTTAATATTATTATTAGAGAGCTAAGAATTGTTGTATATGGATATGGGCAGCGCTGTCTTGGCACATTTTCTCTTGAAGGAGAAACTGCAGAAAATGGGCATGTTGGGGTGTCTTCTGTGCATTGTGGGATCCACTATAGTTGTGCTCCATGCGCCCGAAGAGAAGTCTCTTACTTCTGTACAAGAAATATGGGAATTGGCCATTCAACCTGGTACTCTGTCAAGGTTTCATCAATTGTCCATTATTATGAAATATTATGAAATTCCTAATGGGTTTTCCCTGATTATTGCTTTCTGTTTTGGCATCCAGCATTCGTCTCGTACACTGCCTCTGCAATTGCTGTGACATTGTTCTTGGTTTTGTACTGTGCTCCCCGCTGTGGCCAGACTAATATTATGGTTTATACTGGAATATGCTCAATAGTTGGGTCCTTGACTGTAAGTGTCTCTACTCAGTTAACCTTGTCAGTTGTCACCACTTCATATGTGATATTTTTATCATTTTTGTTTTTTCTGTGCTCTAACGGTTGACTCAATTATATAATATAGTCCATGATTTGTTTTACCTTTCTGGTAAAATTCTTACTTCTCAGGTCATGAGTGTAAAAGCAATTGGCATTGCGATAAAACTTACACTGGAAGGTGCAAACCAGGCTTTCTACTTTCATACATGGATTTTTACAATGGTTGCTGTCAGCTGCATCATTGTCCAACTAAATTACCTTAATATGGTCAGTGTTTCTTTTTCTTTCTTTGTGCGATCATAATTTTTGCACTACAACATTAACTTTTTTTGTTTTTTTATAGGAAACACACGACATTAACTAACTGTTAAAAATATCGGTGCTTACTTCAGATACTTTGCTGCATTCTGTTGCTTTATTCTCTGTTCATTAACTAAAATATGCTATGAAAAGAATGTCCTTTAAAACAAGTTAGGCTGTTTTTGTGTTCTTTGACATGATACAGTTTAGTTAATACTGGGCTTTAATTTTTATTCTGGCTGCGATCAAACTTGTGGTTGCTGAAAACTATGTGAACTTTGTATTTTTGTTGAATATCCTCTTAATTGTCTTTGTTATGGAGGATATACACATTCATGTATGCATTGCCGACTATTTATAAGATCTTGATTTTGAAAATATTCATTTTAATGGTTTTCTTTACCATAATGCATTTGTTTAGGCTACATATTTTGTACGGCTGTTTAAAAGTTACCTTTAGTTATCATCTCTGATGCTATTGTTTGCAATCTTGCCTTATATTTTTATATTCAATTTTGTCTATTAAGTAATTGACTGATTGAAAGTGACAGGTGCATTTTCCATAAAGCAATCATTGAACCTGTTCATCCTACCACTTAGTTAATCTGTCCAGACTTATAACTTTGATCATTATAACACTAATTATTAAATGTAGAAGTTGTTAGGGTCCAATTTCAAGGTACGGGTTTTGAGTCTCATATTGGAATTATGGGATTCTAGTGTGCTGTTTATAAGGCCTTGGGCTCTTCAACTACAACAATTAACTATAAATGAGCAACAATAGTGGTGACGTTGGAACCACAATAAATCTCCGCAATATTTTAACACTCCCCTTCAAGTTGGATTATATATATCATATGCACCAAGCTTGTTATGAATGTAATCAACCTGAGACCCTTTAAGTGATTTTGTGAACATATCTGCTAATCGGTCACTGTAGTGAACGATCTCAATTGTGATCTCTCTTGAGAGCGCTTTCTTTCTTACAAAATGACAGTTTATTTCTATGTGCTTAGTTTGCTCGTGGAAGACCAGATTGGAGGCACTATTCATGCGATGAAAAAAAATTAATTCTAAGCTATGATACCATGTTGTGATTTAGGAATTGTGTGTCAATCTTTAGTACACATAGCTCTTATTTATAATGGAAAATAAGGATTTACATGATATGATATGATTAGTTAAGATATAATTAACCCTAATAAATCTCTACAATATCTTAACAGTTTTAATCATAAATCATAAATCATGGAATCATAAAATTTGGATACAATGAAAAAAAATAACTTGTAATATAACATATAAATGATGGGTAAGTGTAATGATATTAAACTAGGAGTTGACAAAATAACTTGACCATAAATCTCACAAAGCAAAATAACATGTCATCCGTCGGAACTCAGAAAAAAGGTAAGCAATAATATAACCAAATAAGGTGTGCATAAAGTGATCAAGTGACTGTGTGAAGCCTTAGTTTTAGAAGAATGAAATCAGAGAAACAAAACCACCAAATAGGATGCATTGAGTTTGTGAGGGATTCTGTGAAGTCCTTGTTTCAGAAAAATGAAAACTTAGTGAAATATGATCCAACTGGGTGTGCTTAGTTACACATCTTTGGTTTCTTTTCATTTAAAAGTTTAAGCTTAGTTTACTTTTCAATTTGTTTGATGAGAATTTGTAAAAGAAACACAAAAATGCAAAAAAAAGAAGATTAACATATCATTAAATTATGATTTTTATCGGTTGATTCAAAGCCATTTATGTTTTATCACGTTATGAATGACTTGCTGAGTTGTATTGATTCGCACAATGCTAACAACTATGATTCAAGTAATTTTCAACGAGCAGAACTGTGTTTTAAGTAACTAAGGTTGAGATTAATCTTGAGAAGAATATTGTGGTTATGACTGTGCATATGCTCAAAATATTTTTTATTTTTTAACTTGTCTGTTTAGTATATGATTAAAATTTTGACATCTAGAATCATTTTAAATAAGATTGTTTACCTTTCCTTTAGAAGAAAAGATTTAGCTAGTGTTGGCTTCCTTTTATGTCTCATCCAAATACATATAGTATGGAGAATTATTTTAGTTTGTAGGCTTTAATCATACTTTTCTTGATTTCTATGTGTCAATTGATTTTTTTTTTTCTAAATTAAATGGTCTATCCAATTTTTTAGAAACTGTTTAAAGGTTGTGAAGTAATTCAGAAGTCTGAGATGTAAATCCCTTATCCAAATAGCATCCATGTGATGCTTGAGCTGAAACTGAATATGTTAGGTTCTTGACAAGGTCCGAAAGAGAAAGGGAATTATTCGTCCCTGAGTTTATTGAATCTTTAGAAAGAATGTACCCCTACCGTTCTCACCATATCGCTTTAGTAGTGCGCGCGTAAATTCGTCCCAAGATGGGTGTTTGGCTTGGTTACGCCAATATTGGAACCAATGACAGGCTTTGCCTTCCATGCTGATGAAGGCTACGCGTAATCACTCTGATGGTTTAACTTGATGGACTTCAAAGAATCTTTCTGCTCTAGCAAGCCATCCCAGAGGGTCATTGCCTTCGAACGTGGGTAGCACAACTTTCTTTAACCAAGAACGCATCGTGCCATCATAGTCGTCACTGTCGTCCTCGGTGAAACTCAGATTGGTTGTATTGGACTGACCATCATCGTCAGTGTTGGGTTTGTTGGTGAGGCATTCCATGATGAGATTCCGTATTTGGCTCAGATCGGGCAGATGTTCTTTGATGTATGCGACGTCTTTTTGTAATTCTGCCAACTTGATGCCTTGATCTTTGATCGTATTTTCCGCGGAGTGCATACGTGCATCCATCGTGAAGGGGGGGAAGAGCAGCAGGTCGGACCAATTTGTTAGGTTCTTGACAAGGTCCGAAAGAGAAAGGGAATTATTCGTCCCTGAGTTTATTGAATCTTTAGAAAGAAAATGATTACACAAAGGAGACTACTCCTTTCACACTGGAATCAGTCCAGTTGTTCACTTACAATAGTAATTCCTTACCCCCTCAGCCTAAACAACCAAACTATTTAAAGAAGACTGAAAACTAACTAACAGTAACCGTGAACCTAACTAATAGGTCAAAGGATCAAATAGATTTAATTAATTCCTATTTGTACCCTTCTTCCTATAATACACTCTTAACCCTCTATTTATCTCCTGTGATTCCTGATGTCTAACAACATCTCCCCCTGCGAAAACCACCTTGTCCTCAAGGTGAAAATCCGGAAACTGGGTCTGTAGGGTGGCTGCATCTTCCCACGTCGCGTCTTCCGGCGCTTTCCCTTGCCAACGGATGAGGACCTGAGAGAGACGCGTCCCATCCTGTGTAATCACTCTGCTACCCAGCACCTCACTAGGTTGATAGGATTCCAGAGGAAGTTGTAACTCTACTGGTACCACTGCTTCCACCATGTGATTGCCCAAAGCTTTCTTAAGTTGAGAGACATGGAATACCGGATGTATCCGGGCTTCCGTTGGTAACCGAAATTGATATGCCACAGCTCCAATCCTTTTAAAGACTGAGTAAGGCCCGTAATATCTAGCTGAGAGTTTGGGGTGCAGTTTGGTTGGCATGGAAGTCTGTCTATGTGGTCTGATCTTCAAATAGACATAGTCCCCTGGCTGAAACTCCAATGGTTTTCTATGCGCATTCGCGTAATGAATCATTTGGTGTTGAGCACGTTGTAAGTGGAACTTCAATTGTGTTAAAGCCTCATCTCTATCCTGAAGGTCTTGTGCGACCGCTTCTACCAGAGTTTCCCCCCGGAACAAATCGTGCCAAGGATGGTGGTGGTCGACCGTAAACTACTTCAAACGGGGTGCATTTTGCTGAAGCCTGAAAACTGGTATTATACCAATACTCTGCCCAAGGAATAAAATCAGCCCAAACTCTCGGTTGCTCGGAACTAAAACATCGTAGATACGTCTCAAGTGTCCTATTTAGAACCTCCGTTTGGCCGTCGGTTTCTGGATGATATGCAGTAGACATCTTCAGTTTGGTGCCTTGTAGTCGGAACAGTTCTTGCCAAAAATGGCTCATGAAGGTAGGATCTCTATCACGCACAATGGAAGTGGGAATCCCATGTAGGCGTATGATTTCCTTCACAAAAATCGCAGAAATAGTTCTGGCTGAGTATGGATGTTCGATCAGCACAAAATGCCCATATTTGCTTAAGCGGTCCACCACTACCATTATAGCCTCAAATCCTTTAGAACAGGGTAAGCCCACAATGAAATCCATGCTGATTTCTTCCCAGACAGCGTTAGGAATGGGCAAAGGTTGCAGCAGACCAGCCGAAGATGACGCTTGATACTTGTTGCGTTGGCACACGTGGCACGAAGCAACATATTGAGTCACGGTTTGCTTCATGCCAATCCAATAGAGAGATTGAGCCATTCGTCTATAAGTTCGATAGATTCCGGAGTGACCTCCCGTAGGTGAGGTGTGAAATTCGTGTAATAATTTGGGAATCCAAGAGGATGTGGCAGATAAAACTAACCTTCCCTTGTGATGCAGCCTGCCATGCTCCAAGGTATAGTATTGATAGGAGTTGGGGTCGTGTAGCAAGGCAGTTCTGATTTTTTCCAAATCAGAATCTTTGCGAACTTCCTCGTCAATTTCGGTTATGTCCTGCCAAAAAGGTCTAGTAATAGCTTGCAATTCTGGGTTCTCATGGAGCCTAGATAACGCATCCGCCACTTTGTTGGAGGCCCCCACCTTGTAAACAATGTCGAAGTCATAACCCAAAAGTTTAGCCAACCAGTTTTGTTGGTTTTGTGTGGTGATCCGCTGTTCCAACAAATAACGCAGGCTCTTTTGATCAGTATAAACCGTGAATTTTCTGCCTAAGAGATATGGGCGCCAATGTTGGATGGCTAGGACGAGTGCCATCAATTCCTTTTCATAAATTGATTTAGTGAGACTCGAATCCGCGAGTCCCTTACTGAAAAAGGCGATGGGCTTCTTATCCTGCATAAGCACTGCCCCCACTCCCTTGCCCGACGCATCACACTCGATTTCGAATGGTTTGGCAAAATCTGGCATCGTTAAGACCGGTGCGGTAGTGACAGCCATTTGTAATTGTTTGAATGCTGACGTGCTTGTGGCAGACCAGTGAAAACTGCCCTTCTTCAACAAATCCGTGAGTGGCCTTGCGATCTTGCCATAATCGCAAATGAAGCGACGATAGTATCCTGTGAGACCCAAGAAGCCGCGAAGAGCTTTGATATTTTTCGGGAGTGGCCAATGGAGGATAGAATCAATTTTTTGAGGATCCATTGACACCCCGTCTTTGGTGATGATGTGCCCCAAGTATGCCACCTTTGTACACCCAAAACTACATTTGTTTTGATTGGCAAACAAACAGTGTTCCTTTAATTTGGTTAAAACAGCCCGTAAGTGCAGAAGGTGTTCTTCCCACGTGCCACTGTAAATCAGGATATCGTCAAAGAAGACTAACACAAACCGGCGAAGGAATGGTTTCATGACGGAGTTCATAACACATTGGAATGTTGCAGGGGCGTTGGTCAACCAGAAAGGCATGACCAGAGATTCGTAGTGTCCGTGATGCGTGCAGAAAGCTGTCTTCTGAATATCTGGTGCAGCCATCCTGATTTGGTGGTATCCCGCTCGGAGATCGATCTTAGAAAAGTAGGTGGCGCCTCTGAGTTCGTCCAGTAGTTCCTCTATCATCGGAATGGGAAATTTGTCCGGAATCGTGGCTTTGTTGAGGGCGCGATAGTCCACACAGAATCTCCAACTACTGTCCTTCTTCTTGACCAAGATGACTGGACTCGAAAACGAGCTATTACTTGGCCTGATGAGTCCTGCTGCTAACATTTCGTTCACCTGTGTTTTGATCTCATTTTTTTGTAGGTATGGGTATCTATAAGGTCTTACATTGATAGGGTCGATCCTGGCTTTGAGGGGAATCCGGTGGTCAGTGTCTCATTGAGGCGGAAGGCCGTGAGGTTTAGAAAAAACTGGCATAAATTCTGAGAGGACTTGTTGCAATTGTGTCTCTTGATCGGGGGTCAGTTGGTGGGTTGTGTCCCAGTGGGTTTCGCCTATCCACAACATGGTCAGGGATTCTACCGAACGAGGAGTCAATTTCCGCAAAGCTTTAGCCGCGATCATTTCTTTGGAGAGGCTGGGGTCGCCTTGGATGGTAACCAGCTGTCCTTGGTGTATCAATTGCATTTGCAGGGTCCTCCAGTTTACTTTAACCTCTCCTAACGTCATCAACCAAGCCACCCCGAGAATGATATCAACTCCCCCAAGATCAAAGATGAAAAATTCTCCTGTCATGGTGTAATCGCCTATGCGAATTTGCACATTGCTACAACTACCATATGTTTGCTTTGATTCCCGTCACCGAGCCTTACAAAGGATGTCTTTGTTTGGTATACTGTGAGACCGAGTTCCGTTACGAGACGCTGTGATATGAAATTATGGTTGGCACCGCTGTCGATGAGAAGAAGAATGTCTCGGTCAAACAGTTTGCCCTTGAGTTTCATGGTGTGAGGGGTCGTGAGGCCTCCGGCTGAGCAAATTGATAGGTCCAACCAGTTGCACTCGCCAGGGGCGGAATCCCCAGCGTCAAGCACAGGGCTGTCTGGGTCACTACTTTCTTCATCTGCCAAGATGATGACCCGTAAATTCTTCTCTGGGCAACGGTGCCCTGGGCCGAACGCTAGTCCACAATGGAAACATCGATTTTCTTCTCTGCCTTTGATGTATTCACGGTAGGGCAGGTTTCTCGTTCCACGCGGTCAGTAGGTGGGACGATGCTTCCACCTTGTCTTGTCCCTGTGGAGCCCGAACTGGGGCGGTTTTCACCCTGTGGTTCGCGATTTGTGCCTGGGGTTTCAACCCGCGAAACTATGGTGTTATTCCCTTGATAGCGGAACCCAGAATTGGAATTGTGGCTTTGAAGTTTTCCGTAACTGCGAATGTCGTTCATGGCTTCTTCTATGTCGCGCGCGATCTCCATGGCACGGTTCAATTCTTTTGGGTCATGTGGAGGGACCTGGCTGCGAATGTCAGAACGTAATCCCGCCAAGAAATATCCCAACACCTATTCCTCAGAGCTGGGCTTGGCTTGGGCAATCAGTAACTCGAATTCTTGAACGTAATCTTCCACGCTGCCTGTTTGTCGAATAGCCGCCAGTCTTTCGTACATTGTACCCCTACCGTTCTCACCATATCGCTTTAGTAGTGCGCGCGTAAATTCGTCCCAAGATGGGTGTTTGGCTTGGTTACGCCAATATTGGAACCAATGACAGGCTTTGCCTTCCATGCTGATGAAGGCTACGCGTAATCACTCTGATGGTTTAACTTGATGGACTTCAAAGAATCTTTCTGCTCTAGCAAGCCATCCCAGAGGGTCATTGCCTTCGAACGTGGGTAGCACAACTTTCTTTAACCAAGAACGCATCGTGCCATCATAGTCGTCACTGTCGTCCTCGGTGAAACTCAGATTGGTTGTATTGGACTGACCATCATCGTCAGTGTTGGGTTTGTTGGTGAGGCATTCCATGATGAGATTCCGTATTTGGCTCAGATCGGGCAGATGTTCTTTGATGTATGCGACGTCTTTTTGTAATTCTGCCAACTTGATGCCTTGATCTTTGATCGTATTTTCCGCGGAGTGCATACGTGCATCCATCGTGAAGGGGGGGAAGAGCAGCAGGTCGGACCAATTTGTTAGGTTCTTGACAAGGTCCGAAAGAGAAAGGGAATTATTCGTCCCTGAGTTTATTGAATCTTTAGAAAGAAAATGATTACACAAAGGAGACTACTCCTTTCACACTGGAATCAGTCCAGTTGTTCACTTACAATAGTAATTCCTTACCCCCTCAGCCTAAACAACCAAACTATTTAAAGAAGACTGAAAACTAACTAACAGTAACCGTGAACCTAACTAATAGGTCAAAGGATCAAATAGATTTAATTAATTCCTATTTGTACCCTTCTTCCTATAATACACTCTTAACCCTCTATTTATCTCCTGTGATTCCTGATGTCTAACAGAATACCGCCAACTGAATTTTGATTTAGGCTGCACCTTTTAATTGTCACCATTTTCTTGTTATTTAATCTTCAATCCAGGCTTTCTATGGTGACCAACTCTTCCATCATTGCAGGCATTGGATAATTTTAATACCACAGTTGTTTCTCCAATCTATTATGCATTGTTCACATCTTTTACAATATTGGCCAGTGCAATTATGTTTAAGGTCGGTATTTTTCAGAAACACAATGAGAAAATTTGTATGTAGAAGGAGACATTTTATGGTTCATGTTTGTTTTTTTTATAATCCTGCCTCCCCTACTTTTCTTATTTAGGACTATTATGGTCAAAGTATAAGCAATATTGTGTCAGAGCTATGTGGTTTCATCACTATTTTATCTGGAACGACTATATTGCACAGTACAAGAGAACCAGAGCCTCCAGCCATTTCAGGTAATACATCTTGCACTCTGATGTGGAGTATTTGGATGATATACACGGCAATAAAGGGATCCAGCTTTACTGGACCTTTAATATAGAATATTTACGTCAAAGGCTAAAACTGAATACAATTATTAGATAACAGGGAATAGTTGCTCATATTTTCTTGCTGCTGACTACTTGCTCTATTGTTGATATTTTAGTAGTGCTATTTCACTTCTATGGACTTGACAGATATTTGCACGGAAGGGATTCTGTGTTTGGAAAATGTTTAAACAGGAGGGGACTAAACATTCTTTTCCTCTTTATATTTATAAAACAGGGAGAAAGGTTATAAGGGGACTAAGATCCTAAATTAACACAAATTTATAGACAAGCCCAATTTCAACCAATGTCACAAAGCTCAGTTAGATCAATCAATCATAAAAGTCAGGCCAATCAAGCCAAGTAAACAAAATTAAGGTGTGCTAATATTGATATGACTTGGCTATTATGGGATGCCTATGTCCCACATTGATTAGTATGGGATCCTTGGTGGAGTACTTAAGTGGCAGTTCTCCTCCCTTGACAAATGACAACTAGCTTCTGAGGGTTCCCCTAGTGCTTGTGCTATTCACATATCTTTGACAAGACTCAAGAATAGGAATATAAAAGGTGGCCTAGTGCAGGTGCCGGAAGGCTTTTCTGACTTATGGGTTTTGGAGAGGGTTAGATGTATGTACTATGTAACCTTACTCGTGAATGGAGAGGCTGTTTCTGACTTTTTGTGAGTAGCAGTAGTATGTGAACAATTTACTCGGTAGTGGTATGTTTTTAGAGGCCTTTTATCTGATACTGAATGCTTACCATTGCATCAAAGAAAATATATTAATATCTTATGCTTGAGTAAGTCCTTTCTGTTTTGTACTGCTGAATGAATATTCCTTTCTTGAATATGTTTACATGGACAAGGGCTTTTCTAATGTTACTCAATTTCCAGCACTTGGTATCATATAGAGGGATTCGTGAGTTTTGTCTAATCAGTATATTGTACATCTTGTCTTTATCCTGAATTAATATCTGGATAGGGGTCACATCACATAGTTAACAATAGGAACACTAGGATTAGGGTTTCTTAGCCTAACTGGATGTGTTGACCCTTAGCTGTGAGATTTGAAATTTTTTGCTACATTCTAGTTTCTAGCGATCTTATGTTGAGATAACTAATGCTGTTTACCAGAAGTGCATACATTATTTTATTGTTCTCCACACATGCAGATTTATATACACCATTGTCTCCAAAAGTGTCATGGTATATCCAAGGCAACAACGAACCCTGGAAGCAGAAGGAGGAGGATGTGTCACCCTTTAATTTAATTACGGTTATACGGCAAGACCATTTCAAGTGACACAGGAGGCTAAACTGCAAGAGGTAGATCTCTATCCTGGGCTATCCTACTATTTAACTAATAACTAGATATAACACCCGTATTATATTCCTTCTGCTTGTTTATATCAAGCAACATAAATGTACCAGCATTATGGGGTTTGGCTTTCTGTGATTTCATAATATTTGATTCTATCACATTATGCAGGCAGAGAGGAGACAGTGCTTCCTTCTTTTTATTTATTTATTTATTTATTTATTTTTGGGAATATAGGATTTTGTCCACTGGTAGCACGTGAAATGAAGGCTCAAGTGCTATCACCTAAAAATTAAAATGGTCCTATGGCCATGTTATCAAGTAGTGAGTTATAGTCTAATTTGCTTCCTTTTGTTTAAACCCTCATGTATTCCTTCAATGTATTTCCTATTGGTTCTTTCCACACCACCCTGTCCTTATATTTCTTATTATAATTTTTTTTTTGTAAAATGTAGAATGGTTCATTGTTTTGGTGTTTAGCAGGTTTTGGAAGCTAATCAATGTATATCGATCAGTGTAGTTTCAACTTTCAATTATTTAAATAGCCCTTGGAAATTATTGGTTGGATATATGCAATATGTAATAGTAGAAAACCTATCTGTGCTAACTGCTGCTGCCTTGAGACCAGCAAGGTTATGAACCAAAGTTTTCTAGGCTAAAATTGTGGGATTTAGCTCATATGAATTAAGGGATTCACTATACAGAGTACATTGAAGATTTATAGTTAGTGATTAAAAAATTATTGGTTAAGATCTAAAATACATCCTCCAAAGCTACGAGGTGCATTTTAGAGTATATAATCTACTTACAGTCATTGATTAAAAAAAATTGTGGTTGAAATTGTAATAAAGATTAAGTAGATATGTACTTTTTTTTAAAAGATATTAACAATCTCAATCTTCAATATTTTTAATTAATGGGTATCGGTGCATGTCATAATCTAATATGCACCTTCTTGATTTTTTTTTTGATTTTTTTTATACATATGTATGCATTTAATCATATTCGTAACTGTTAATTTTTCAGCTGATACCTATAACTTTTCACTTAACTTTCGATACTAAATTCTTTGTTTTAGAAGAGTTAAATATCAAATTATATGAAAATACTGTGTAATAGCATATAAATCAAAATATAATTATCTAGTGGCAGAGATTGAGGTAATATACATATTCAAATCTTTATTGTTTTGGTACATGGAAAAGTTAAAGAAAGAGAAAACAACAAAATAAGAAAACAAAACCACAAAATCCCATGCATGCATGATTACATGGACAAATTGTCTAACAGCAAAAGATCAAGGATATTGTTAGGTGGGATATTCTAGTGCTCATCCCAATTAGCCTTCGTCTTATTCCAACCTGCAAGCCTTTTTGTAATCTTATTGACATCTCTGTTTACATGAGTTATGATGATGGACAAGCTTTTCCTCAAGAGGATACAAATATCTTCAATGATTTTACAATGTCTATGATGGTGGCTATTATCATCCTTCCTTAAGAGGAGCACCTCAGTAACTTCCAAGTAGTCTGATTCACAAATAATATATTTCCAATCCTTCTACCAGCATCTAGAAAGGCCAGTCTTGATAGCTAGCAACTCAGCTAGAATGTGATTTCCCTTTTTTAGCTATTTTAGGGAAACCATAAAGCCATCTTCCAGTCACGAACATCCCTATCTATACTTATTTTATCGATGGATGAATTAAAACTACCATCCACGTTCAGTTTCACAAACTAATTCTTAGGAAGGGTCTAGGGAAGGTGATTAAAAATATGCAGAAACATCTTATTCAAGTAAGGGATCTCTGCAAGTGAATTATAAATGCCACGAATAACACTAATGATGTTTCATTTATCTTTGTCAACAACAAATATGCTTTTATTTCTCCATTTCCAAACCCATCTGAGAACCATGATACTCCTAGATGGGTCTTTAGATTTCATAACAATACTAAACCAATTGAGAATATTATAAGATGATAAAAGGGGTTGCTACTAATACCCATCCTTGACCAGATTTCTCTAGCATGCGGACAATCGCTTAAAATATGAAAGATGGTCTCGAAAAACCCAAAGCAATGCGGGTAGGCATCAGAAGTAGAAAGATGACACTCCTGCCTTTTGCTATTAGTTGGAAGGGTATTGTTGAGAATTTGTCAGCAAAACAACCTCAGCTTCTTCGGCACCGGCAACTTCCATCTCTTATTCCAGGATGGTGATATTGACTAGCATCACCTTGCAACCATCTATAAGCCAAAATAGAAGTGAAAACACTCGTTATATTATTCTCCCAGATGAACGTGTCGATTTCATAAGGGTTGCACGAAATCTTAGAGTTTAAAATTCTCCCGAGTCTCTAACAAGATAAGGGTATTCAACATATCAAGGTTCCAAGCAATAGCATTGTTCTCGCCAAATATCAGAAACAAGAAGATGGGTATCTGATATGTGCACAAAAGGAACATTTAAAGTTCACTAATTATAATATTTATATATATTGATATTATTCAAATTATTATATATTTAGTTTTTTTAACTAATATATTAAATTTAACCACTCAATTTTGAAGGAAAAATTTAAATATTTGAGTTTAATTTTGATGCATTATTAATATAAATATTTTTCCATTGTTAATTAATTAAAAATTATCCAAAAAATGACTTTTAAAGTTATTATAACAAAAATTAATGATTTTATCATACATGAATCATGATTGGATGCAATGTAAAAAAATTATATTCTTTAAGGTTTACTTTTATGTCTCAACTCAACGAATCTTGTATTTGGTTATCAAGTATTTCATATTTTTTTCCTCAAATATTTTGATTTAAATAGTTTATTTTATGTTCTCTTTCATTTTCAAAAGTTTTATTTATTTTTTTCCAGTTATTTTTTATTTTAAAAAATAAAACCATCTCTTATCATAAATGAATATCATCACAGAAGTGGCTGTAATAGTTTTTATTTAATATTTATATAAATGATAAAGTTAAAAATTCCGAGGAAAGCAAGCCAATTATACATTTTTATTAAACATGAAATGAAAAATGCCACAGAAGTGGCTGTAGTTTAGTGGTAAGAATTCCACGTTGTGGCCGTGGAGACCTGGGCTCGAATCCCAGCAGCCACATATTTTTCGTACACAACTGGAACAGTATTTTTAATTTTTTTTGTCATTTTTACTGTATTGGTAATGATATATATAATAAGATATATCTCTTATTTGAAAGCATGAGAATGCTTCATAGATTTTACCTTTAGATTTTTGTTTTGGTCTGACAAACATTAAAGAGACATCGTGGAATTTGCTAAACAATATTTTTTAAAGATTTTTTTTGTTGGACTTTATAATTTGGATCATCAGATATATTAATTATCGGTGAGATTAAGACATTTCGTATAACACTGTTAATTTTAAGATTGTTTTATTCATTATGTGAATTTTGTGGTGTTGATGCTCGGCATTTCGTATAACACTGTTAATTTTAAGACTGTTTTATTCATTATGTGAATTTTGTGGTGTTGATGCTCGTTGTTGTTAAAAACTCCGGACTAAGAGAATTCTTAGAATAAGTTGACCTTTGTGTAGCTAAAAACTAAAGATGAGGGAAGTCAATTCAGGAAAGGTATAAAAAGAAAAATTTTCAAAAGGGGACTCATAATTCAACTTGTTCAAAAACTTTAGAGAGAAGCAAGTGAACCCAAATTCTCTTTTTCTCTAAATCCTTCCAAAAAAACCTTCCTTTTCCTATCTCTTGTAGCTAAAATCTAAAGTAGTAGGTTGCAGTCTAAGCTTGTGGGGCGGGAGATTTCTAGTCAGGGTTTTAAGCAAAGTTGCTTCTTTCTCTTTCTCTCTTGTGTGGGTTTGAGTCTGCAAGAGGTGATGGAAGCTTTGTGGTTGTTAAGTTTTAGATTGCAAGTTGAATTTCAGTTCTTGATGTTATTTAATTTTGTTGACTAAGTAGATACATGATGGGATGATGAGTGTTGGAATTTTTTGGTTTCGTGGAGGTGGTTTGGGTCAAAATCTTGGTTATTCTTAATTTTGATAGATTCATGTTGATTCTGTTGGTAGATTTGGGTGTTTCTCGTGTTGCATATGTGTAGTGTGCTTTATTGCATGTGAGTTTTGGATTGAATTTTAGATGATTTGGATAGAAATTGGGTTATGCATAAGTGCAAAATGTGATATTGCGCCGAACCTACTTTTAAGACACCGAACGTGACTCCAAAGAGAGACTTTTGTCTTACTTATGTCGAGCCCAGGATCAGTGGTGTCGGACGTGAAGGGAGAGAATTGTTTCGAATTGGAATCATGTTGAACATAGGTTGAATAATGTCGAATGTGAGGAAAGTGATTTGTCTCTGCTTGGATTCACATTGGGTGCTAATTAATGTGTGTTGCACTGGGTGTGAGTTAGGCAGAGACCCTCTACTTGTTTGGAGTTGAACACGTGGGTTTTACTATGTTAGACGAGAGAGAGTGAAAGACTCTCTACCACAATCACATAGGGCATAGGTAGTTTGGCGCAAGGCATGGATGAGACATGGAGCTTTTTGCCTCAATAGCATTGGATGTCCTTATGGTGGTGTCGGGCGAGAGTTATATGATGGAAACTGGTTGTTTAAAGTCGTTTCATATTTGATTGATGGCGAATAAATTGTAAGTTAAATATGTTGCAAAATTGTGAAATTGCTTTAAGTGGCCTAAGTTAATTGTAGTTGTTGTTCTATTAAAGTTACTTATATTGTAAAGATGTATGATGTTTTAAGTTATTAACTTAAACTATTAGACATATGATTGAAATATATGTCGTATTTAAGATATATAAAAACTATAGAAGAGTAAGTGATGACTTCTAAAACTAAATATCCCATTATGAGGATATGAGATGTGGTTTCTACGAGCTCAAGCATTGAAAAACCCTTAGTATGTGAGTTGATTGTTGAATGGTAAGTCATATGTTGTCTCCCCTAGGTTTTATGTGCTACCCATGTGTGGGCCATGTCAATGCACATGTGTATAAAGCGACCAATTAAATAAAGTATCAGATCGAAAACTTAATCTTTAACCTAATATTGGAGGGACGTAATACTTGGAGGGTAGGTTGGTGGACTAATCCCATAGATGATAGTAATGCAAGTTAATGCCATGGTAGACTCATATCCAAACTGTTCTACCTTAGCAATAAAGCTAAACTTCTTATTTTAAGTGACGAACCTGAGAAATCAAATTGAGTTGTTAGTTGACCTAGTTGAAATAGATCACACGTTGTAGTTCGGTAGAGTCTAACCACTTAAACCATTCATCCTATGTTGACGAAGATCTTTATAGTTGATATGCATGATAACGCATCATATGTAATAATATATGTGGTTGTGTTGAATTGCTAAAGTTGATTAACTTGTTGTGCTAAGACTATTGTCATGTTATGAGTTGTTATATTTTGAAATTGCAATGATTATATTTGGCATGCGAGCAGGACATGATTAGTAGGTTAGCTTGTCTTGCTATATGGATAGTCATGCAGGGGATGACCTTACCTCTTTTGTTGTTGTTGTTCTA